ATTGTATACACAAACATTTAAAAAATACTTCCTCAAATAACAACCCTCAAAAACCTTCCTGAAAAAAAAGGATGGTATAGGAGGTAAGTAGACAGCAACGACAAAAGCGATAAACTTTAAATAGAAGCAGTAATGAATTAAAGATTAGCAAAACAAAAAACTTTTTTTTTTCTTTTTTGTCTTTAGAGCTGATATATGAAACATGTACGATTTGTATTGTAGTGATACACAGATAGGCATTACAGTATCATAATAGTGAGGTTATGGGAAATACAGATTTGCATTACAGTAAAATTATTTCAGATTATGAAAAGTAAAATATTGTACTATATATTTAGCACCTTCCCAGCAGACATATAGACATCGAAACAACATTGAAACAACGTCAAATGCCGACGTCGATGTAACGAGGAATCAACGTTGGATTTAAAAGGTGAATCGACGCCAAATATCGACGTTGGATCGACGTATCATATCAACGTTGTATGGACGTCAGGTATCAACGTTGAAACGACGTCAAATATCAACGTTGAACCAACGTCACGCGCCGACGTCGACAAGAGGTTGGATAAACGTTGGATTTGAAAGGTGAATCGGTGTCAAATATAAACAATGAACCAACGTCAAACGCCGACGTCGACAAGAGGCTGGATAAGCATTGTATTTGAAAGGTGAATCGACGTCAAATATCAACGCTGAACCAACGTCACGCGCCGACGTCGACAAGAGGTTAGATAAACGTTGGATTTGAAAGCTGAATCGGCGTCAAATATCAACGTTGAAACAACGGTGAATCGATGTCAAATATCGACTTTGACTCGACGTCAGATATCATGGTTGAAGCAACGTCCGCAAATCGACGTCGACACATAGTTGGTTTAACGTTTGTTTTGAATGGTTGATCGACTTAAATATCGACGTTGGATTAGCGTAAAACATCAACGTTAAATCGACGTTGACAAGATGGTAGACAAAGCTGGATACCAGGTATTAGCGTTGAAACAACCTCATTCATCGACGTCGATACGACCTTGAATTTGTGAATAAAAAATGTTGTTAAATTCAAGTCATATTTAAAAACAAATGTCAGCAATAAAAACAAACTATTACCAGATTTGCAGTTTAAACATTTATTCAGAAGCACACAATAATACATAGACAGTGTCATCTATACTTTTTCAAGTGTCCATTCAAGCTACTAAACTTTGACTATCTACGTCTTTAAAGGAAAAAAAATGCCACCATTAAAATTATATTCTCAATACAATTAAAATATGAAAGTACTGTATACCATTGTACTTTATAATTCATTGTGTTCCACATATGATAAAATGTGCCTGTATTACTAGACAACCATGTCCAGAAGTATTTTTTTAAAATTTAATAGATCTTACCAAACCCATTATACACTTAGTTTATAAAAATATTAAATGGAAATTTTGAATTGAAATTCGGTTGTTTGTTATGCCTGTATTCACGTTAAAATTTACAAGTTTAGCAACGAATGGTAAGATCCCTTTTTAGTCCAATTTGGAAAATAAAATAAAACCAAACTGACTAATTTGCATAATTTGAAGTTACCAGCTTATAAAATGAAAAATTTAAGTCCATAATTAATTTGGCAACATTAGTTATTAAATTTGAATTAAACTTAATATAAAAAAAATATCCCCATCAATTTTAAACAGTTGAACATTATATTGTGAATAAAAATAGAAATTACAGCTTGAAACTTACTGTAACTCTAGATAAAAGCAAATTATTAAAGATGTACAATCAGGCATTGATGAAATCAATAACAAAGTTGTTAAATTTTCTATTTACCCTATCCTTTTCCTACTTTTACATATCTTCAAAATCTTCCTCACTTGCGGAGTGTTTCTGAACAGCATGAAAATTGCAAAAGTCACACCTATTTACACACCAGAATTCGTGACATCCTTCACCTTCCTCTACCCAAACTTACTTTACTCCAACACAATATTCGATATAATGGTTCCAAACTTTTTATTGAACTAGCTCCCCTTGAAATTATATCGGCCCTTTCCAGGAAAATTTCTGTCATCAGTCAAAAAGACAGGAAATACCTCAAATTTACATAAAATTATAAATAGTTTATTTAAAATGATCAAACAAAAATATTAATTATGCATTTAATGTGTCCATGCGTAAATTTAATAGTCATATTTTTGTTGAAATTGACCTTAAGATTCGAGCAACCCATAGTTGCACTCAAGGCAAATTAATGATGCTACGGAAATATTTTATTTACAGTGGATATTTGAAGACTAAATGTATACAAAATAGGCCTACATGCGATGTTTTATAAGTGCTTTTGGGCTAACTCATTTGTTAAACATCCTGCTCATGGGCTTTCTGTTGTTGGGTGAGGTGTACGTTAAGTGACATATATTTGCACTAAAGGCAAATTGATGGTAGGATGGAAATATTGTATTTATTCTTATTCTATCTTTATTGTCAAACCCAGACTGCAAACTACGATCCATCGTGTGGTTGGACAGCAACTCAAAAGCGAACCTAACCACTATTGCGTGAGCATGATATACTTAACCACCCCGGCTTAAAAATACAATGTTTAAAAAAAAAAAAAAAATCATGTTTTTACAAGACTTTTTTTTTGTAGAAAAATATGATTTGAGAATTTGGCGTTGAGTAAGATTTGTAAACTACTTAATTTATTATACAAAGTCTTCAGAAATATACATAGGTAAAATGAATTAATTTAAGCATTTTAAACGATTTTTTTTGTTATTTTTTCATATATAGGCAACACCAGATAAGCCGTTGATATCAGTACACAATTTTCTTGTAGAACCCCTAGTACAATCCAAGTATAATTGAAAAGTATTAAGTATATGACGTTTAAGTGCCCACATAAATGAATGGATAGATTCTAAAATAAGTGAGTTTTTAAATTCGTGGGTAATTTTTCCGAAAGTCTCGGAAATTGATGGATAACAGAATAGTGGAGACAATTGGTTCTGGCATATTGATGCATGAATCGAAGGTTTTCAGGGTGACGTTTATTAACAAAGGTAAAATTACGTACACAACAGTCAATAAGACACTTACAAATACATGTAATTGAAATAAAGTCCCTTCTTAAAGAAAGTGTAGGCCATAGGAGTGCAAGGCGCGCTTCATAGGGCATACTCCACTGGCTTTGCTTTAGAACAAGACGCGTTGCTCTGTGCTGCAACACTTCAATGCGGTCTATATTTTTTGGTGTGTGGAAACCATGAGGGAACATATTTCATGATCATGACATATTACATAACACATTTCATGATCGGTAGAACAAGTGCCCTTTCAAGAGCAAAATTGGCAGCGAAGAAGTAAACGATTGAAGAGGAAGGTAAGGCATGTGGTGAACAGGGCAAAACGATTTTTTTTAGAACGAGAATGCATGATTTTGGCTCTTCCAACATTAAGTTGTATCTTGATGAGAGTGCAGTATGAATGAAGCAAATTAAGGTCTGCAATAGATATTAATTTCGTCGTTATGTTTTGTAGATGACTTTTCTTTTCATTTTTTCTTTCTTTTTTTATTTAGAATTCACGAACAATCACATACAATAATAAATAAAATAACATAAAGAAATTATGGGATTAAAACACAATAAAGTACCCAAACGGCCGACTTATTTCCATTGTGGTTCCTGAAACACAAACACAAAAAATAGATACAGTATTATAAGTTTAAACTCTTTATAATAAACCACTTGTCTCTGGAAGATAATAATTATTTATCCCACCCCACTGTCCCTATTTGATAATATTGAATACAGATGTAACTTCAATTTTTTTTAAAAGATTGGTATACTATTACTTTCCTGAATTGGATTAGGTAGCAAGTTCCAAGGGCAAATGGTTTTAGACGAAAAAGTGGATTTAAAATTGTTACCCTGTTTATCTCTAAAAATTAAAAAAAGAAGCAAATCTTGTGTTATAATTATGTATATTAAATCCCTTCTTTCAAATATTCTGGATCAGTGGCGGCTCTAGGATATACTTTCTAGAGGGGCTAAGCTGTCCGACAGGGGGACTTGAGATCGTAGGCCTGAGCTTGGGGAATTGAAGGGGCTGAGACAGTGTTCCCCTCCAAATGAGATTTTTTAAGAATATTAACCTATGGATGGCCGGAAATGGCACTCTCAGACTGTGACAGACACGTGTTGGCTTGGTGTGGGCCTATTTTTATATTTTTTATGGTCTGACTGCCCAACGAGCTCTGTCCGACGTGGGTGGGTGGGGCTTGACCTATCAGGTGGGGGACTTAAGCCCCGCTGCCGCCACTGTTCTGGACATGCATCATTCAAAGTTCTAAACACATAATTTAACTTAATTTGTGCTACGCGGAGATGACAGTGTCATCAGTAAAAGAGTGCACACTGTGACTGAAGACAAAAGGGAAGGGGTTAAGTTGTCGCACAAGCCAGTTTTGATTAAATGAGCTATATAATATGGGGGCTTAAAAAATTGCCTACAAATCCAAAATTGTTTTTCATTATAGATCAACAGTCTTATTATTCATGTCCCTTAGGGCCAAAGTATTAGTTCTGGAAGTGGTCAACAAATCGTTTATTTAACGTTATATTGATAGTTAATTCTATTAAACAATGTATGGACAAATAATTTTGAAAAGCAATTACTCAAAATCATTGAGAACGCTACCTCGGAGAATCCCAGACGTTATATAGATGACACTACTCTTCCACCTCCATAATCCATCTTCAGACATTTCCTTGGATATTTCAATTGGTCAAAAGTTTATTTTAAGTGCAACATGAGGGACAAGTTTGTCAAATGACGGCGTAATCTAAGAACACGACTTCAATTCTTAGTGGTAGGTTTATTAAGAGCATTCCAGGCATGGGTAAGTTTGTTATGTTTAGTGGCACATGAGTGTGAAGGGGAAAAAACCATGTTGAGCATCAGATACAGGAAAATTCAGAAGTAAATTATTAGAAATAACAAAATAAAAGATTTTTTTTAAATGAGGTTAAGGTAATAGGTCTGTAATTAGAAATAAGCGACCTATCTCCAGAATTGTAGGCAGGTGTTATGTGAGCGATCTTCCATGCATGGGAAAGAATCCCTTCATTCAAAGACAAGGTAAAAAGTTTGGGAAATGGGATGAGAAAAGAGATGGGAAATGAATTCAGAGGCAGATTTAAGAATTAGGGGTGAATGAAGTCAGCCTGCAGATTTATTAGGATATACCTTTTTAACAGATTCAATGCCAAAGTCAACATTACAGAGAGCGGGAATTGGAACATTGCAAGGAACAGGGTCAGTTAGGTGTTATGATCACTTCCGGTACTAAGGTTTCTATCTTCATCAATTGTATGCTGGCATAATTAATATTCGTAGAGCACATCATGTAATCAATTGTGCTTTTTTGTTAACCTCTGCACCACCGTGCCCTCACAAAATATAGTGCAATTTAAGGTTGTCATATTTGAATTATCTCTGAAGTTTAGTAGGCCTTTACCATTGTTGTTAGTATCAAGGTCACCATTACTTATTTCTTGACCAATGTGACCATTAAAATCCCCCCCCCCCCCGAGCACAATTGAAACCCCTAATTGTTAACATTTTCGGGGGCTTGCCCCCCCCCCCCACGGGGCCACTTTCGGAACATTTTAATCGAAGCTCGACCACGCTCACATTGCTTTCGTCGAGTAAATCTGACCCCTCGTGAGGATTGTGAGTGGTCACGCTGGTCGCCACTTATCTAAATTTTGAAATATGATACGATTTTCCCTACTTGGCGTTCGATGCCAAGTTAGAGCGTTCTATTTTGTCATGGTTAGAGCCAGATAAACAGCCAGCCAGCTCCAAGGCCGTCGACGTCACCCGGTAGAAAGGCTTGTTTAATAACGTCTACTGTATTTTACGAACCTAGTACCAAGGGGTATTCGTAAACAAAATTATTTTCGCTAGCATTCTCCCATTTAACAAAATATTATTTTATTTCTCATTAAAACGTCTGTATACTTTATGGACCTTTCTGTCGTGTTATAGAAAAATATACATTATCCCTTTGAAAAACATACCCAATTGGACTTTTCGTTTATATACAATATGAATAGAAGTATAGGCCTATATTTATATCGTAAGCATATATAAGGAGTTATTCTGTACCTTTTTTAGGTACAGAATAACTCCTTTGGAGTTAAAATAACTCCTTCAAAATAACAGTGTATATATAATCATGAAAGGAAGGTAAATACAGTGTTAGCATAAAGGACATAATAATACATCGTGTAGTATAGTTCTTATCGAATGTAGTCCTGTAAATAAATGAATAAAGAAATTGTGTTATAAAATACCTCTTGCGGGGCTCGAACCTGTGATATCTCGCTGTCAAGGCGAGCGTCATAACCGTTAGACCACGGAGGCTTCATGGTTGAACAGATTCAAATACCACCAGATACACCCTATTACACAATAATTACTGCTAGAAACAAATAGTTTAGTGTCTAAAAACGATTATTGGCCCATGTTAAAGAACATTTACTTGATTCGTTCCAATCTGCTTACAAAAAGCACTTCATAGCGCTGAAACAGCCTTACTTAAAGTAAGCAACGACATCCTACGTGCAATGGATGATGGCAAACATACTGCTTTAGTTCTATTAGATTTAGGTGCAGCTTTCGACACTGTTTTGCTTCGTAGATTAAGTAAGCACATTGGAGTCAAAGGTCGTGCACTCGAATGGTTTCGATCTTATCTGACAAACAGACGTCATCATGTATGTATAGGGGACGCTTTCTCCCAGGAAAGTTCCTTCAATTTTTCTGTTCCTCAAGGATCTGTTCTTGGGCCACAATGGTTCACAATTCATACCCTACCTATTCAGGATATAATTTGCAAATATAACTTTTCCTACCATGTTTATGCTGACGATACTCATATTTACCTCCATGACGCAACTTAACCGCTCTCTAGAATCGCTCGAAAATTGCATTTCTGAGTTACGTGTTTGGATGAAGCAAAATTTTCCAAAATTGAATGATGACAAAACTGAATACATACTTCTTGTGTCACGCCAACAGTTGGAAAAACTTACACTGAGTAATTTAGCTTTTTGGGAAACCCTAATAGGCTCTGCTGCGCAGATGAGAAATCTTGGTGTTACTATGGATGCTAATATGACAATGAGTAGACATATTTCAAATATCATTTCAACATCTTCATTCTATTTACGTAACATTAGAAGAATTAGGAAATACATTGACAATGCAGCTGCTGAACAACTTGTTCACTCATTTGTTACTTCACGCCATGACATGGGTAACTCGCACTTGTATGGACTTCCACATAAACAAATCCAACGGCTTCAACTCATTTAAAATGCTGCAGCACGTGTAGTTATCCAAGTCATCCAAGAACTCACATATAACAAATACTCTGAAATCATTACATTGGCTCCCGGTACAACACCGCAATGTTTTTAAGATATTATTAATAGTTTTTAAATGTATAAATCAGGGGCGGATACAGGATTTAGCAAAAGTAAAGATGGACGACCAGCCATGGTACGAAGCACCGAGGGCAGGCGGCTGATCCAGCCTGCCAGAAAAGGGGGTGGGGCGCAATCTGCGAGCTAAGCGATCAGCCTTAGGCTGGGGGTGAGGGGGTGCGCCTAGGACCCCTGGCAGGGTTGAGAAGCAGAGCCCCTGGTGGGGGTGCAAGGGGGCGAAGCCCAGCACATTTCAGGAATATGAGGTTGTATTGAGTCGATTTTGACTATCTAGCATGGTAGTTTTCAGTAACAAATAAAAAAAAAAATAGGTGTATGGCTTTTAAAAGAAATTTTAATATACAGGGTACCTGCAATATGCAACTATGACATGTGTCATTATTAATTCATCTACTCACAGCTGTGGGATTTAGTGCCTCTCGAACATCTCAAAAATAATCAAAGGCTCATAAATGTACACCATTTCAAAAGAGAAATTTCACTTCTAGAAAACATGATAAGTTTCTCAGCAACATTGAGCATAAAAATCCCAAAATCAGTAAAAAGGGAAACTAATATCCAAAATCCTTTAAAAAAAGTCCTCAAACATCAAAACTTGCTACTGTATATTAACATTGAGTAAATTACAAGTGTTCTATTTCTGACAAAAGTGGATTTATGAATAGCACTCTCCTATGGTGTTTTTGGTAGGAAAAGAAGACTTAAATACTGTGGGTGTAATTTTTTCTTTGAAAAAAAATAGGGGGGGGGGGGGGGGGGTTGGCGTACGCCCCTTACGCGCCACACCCCCACCCCTTAAATCTGCCACAGAAAATAGGCCTAGGCCCTAGGTTTAGGTAGGCCTACTTTACTTTCATGTTAATTAGAGACAACAGGATTATACAGTTTCATACAATATGTCTTGTAAATTACACAATATGATTAAACCAGGTACTGTACTTGAAAACAATAAGGAAGCAAAACTTACACGTCAAAGGTGTCAAATGTTGTCTACACAAAAACTGTACTTTATTAAAAGAGTAAGTCTACTGAAGCGGTGTCGTCAATGGAGATGTGCACACATATCAGTGTACTGTGGTCACTGTGCATTGGGTTGTCTGACAGCACATACCTGCTGACCTCAATAGAGAGTGATTGATGCACAAAGGTTTCCATGTGGGTGCATCTGC